AAGGTTCCAAAGGTTACTGTAGGCTACTAAGGGTTACTGTAGGGTTCTAAAGGTTACTGTAGGCTTCTAAGGGTTACTGTAGATTTTCAAAGGTTACTGTAGGCTTCTAAGGGTTACTGTAGGCTTCCAACGGCTACTGTAGGGGTCCAAAGGTTACTGTAGGGTTCCAAAGGTTACTGTAGGCTACTAAGGGTTACTGTAGGGTTCTAAAGGTTACTGTAGGCTTCTAAGGGTTACTGTAGGCTTTCAAAGGCTACTGTAGGCTACTAAGGGTCACTGTAAGCTTTCAAAGGTTCTGTTTCCCTATTGCCCATTTTTTGCGTACTGTACCGACCTTTGGCGCGGTGCCAGCCGGGCACTCTTCTTTGTTCAAATGACAAGCGATATCGAAGTAGTCAACCTGAAAATTTTATAGAAATTATATAAATTAAAAGCTAATAGATTACTGTAGATAATCGCTATAGAGTTAAAAATTTAAAAAAAAAAAGATTTCAATGAATGAAATTAACCTGAAACTCGTCACCCTCAGGAATGAAAAGATCGGGTTTCGAGAGACGAGTTTCCGCGTTGAGAATGCATTCCTGAAAGGCGTAGATAACATTTCCGGGCTTAGGGATAACATCTCTGTGTCTAGGAATAAAATTTGAGCATTCTTTACCTGTTCATTGTAGTAGTACATCACCGATTTGCACACGAAATCGTCACCGGTTTCTGGTGGGGGACTGGAAAGGGATTTGTGTACAAGGAATGGTACAATGAATGGCTTTAAGTTCAGGGAAAGTTAGGGCACAGAAGTGGCCACTTGGCACAGAAGTGGCACAGAAGTGGACACTCCTACCACTTGCACTTTCAAGGTGACAGGAGTTGGCTTTGGCTGTAGGCTTTGGTTGTAGGCTTTGGTTGTAGGCTTTGGTTGTAGGCTTTGGTTGTAGGCTTTGGTTGTAGGCTTTGGCTGTAGGCTTTGGCTGTAGGCTTTGGCTGTAGGCTTTGGCTGTAGGCTTTGGCTGTAGGCTTTGGCTGTAGGCTTTGGCTGTAGGCTTTGGTTGTAGGCTTTGGTTGTAGGATTTGGTTGTAGGATTTGGTTGTAGGCTTTGGCTTTGGCTGTAGGCTTTGGTTGTAGGCTTTGGCTTTGGCTGTAGGCTTTGGCCGTAGGCTGTAGGCTTTGGCTGTAGGCTTTAGGCTTTGGCTTTAGCTGTTAGCTGTCAGCTAAAGGATTCGAACTCAGGCCAAAAGATCTTTCATAGGTTTCGTAAACAGTATCACTATCTATTATACCAGGTTTTTGGAAGAAATAGCCTGGAAACTGCTCCCCCTACTAACTTTATATCTAGTAGACAGATTTTATTGAAACTTTGGCTTTTTCTTAGTTGGATATCACATAAAAATTTGGATTGATTAGATTTGCTCAGCTTTTGAATTTTTAGAGGATCGATCGATCGAAGAGTCGTTTTGGAGCCGTTTAAGACCCATTTTAGACGATTATGCTGAATTTTTCGGGTTTTGCCTTTAATTGGCTTTAATTGGCTGTATATTTACTACAAATTCTGGCTCCATTTAAACCATTGTTACTTGTTTATTGGTTAAACGAAGAGAAACAAATCGATTTGAGTTTTGTTTCTCGTTTTTCTCAGGATTGTGTACATCAATTTCGATTTACAATCTTAATTTTGCAATTCTCAACCTCTCCTTTTCAACAATCAACCTCTCCTTTTCAACAATCAGCCTCACTTCTCAACAATCAACCTCTCCTTTCAACAAACAACCTCAAGCACTCTTAATTAAAGCCATAAAAGCAGTAAGCAGCATAAAAGTAGTCTCACTTTGTGCACTGATCGAGACACATTGTCACCGAGGGGACATTTTCCATGACAAAAGCGGCAAAACCGACAAGAATTCTCTGGGGAACACGTACAAATGATGGAGTGTTACGGCAAGTGTTTGGAGCTGAAAAAAAAAATTTGTACAGTACAGTACTAGTATATAACAGCTTAACAGTACATTTACTAGTAAACAACAGCTTATAAAGTACATTTACCAGTAAATAACAGCTTATAAAGTACATTTACTAGTACATATCAGCTTAACAGTACATCTACTAGTAAACCACAGCTTATAAAGTACATTTACTAGTACATATCAGCTTAACAGTACATCTACTAGTAAACCACAGCTTATAAAGTACATTTACTAGTACATATCAGCTTAACAGTATATTTACCAGTAAATAACAGCTTAACAGTACATCTACTAGTAAACCACAGCTTATAAAGTACATTTACTAGTACATATCAGCTTAACAGTACATTTACTAGTAAATAACGAGTCTTTAACACTTACAAGCAAAGCATTTCTTCTCGTAGTATGTGAATCCCTCGGTGCTCACGAGTTTCCCACGTCCAAGGGGAGCTGATCTATAAAATCAAGTCGAGATTAAGGAGTACTGTGAGGAGTACTATGAGGTGTACTTTAAAGAGTACTTTGAAGAGTACTTTAAAGAGTACTTTGAAGAGTACTGTGAAGAGTAGTTTCAAGAGTACTTTCAACAGTACTTTCAACAGTACTTTCAACAGTACTTTCAACAGTACTTTCAAGAGTACTTTGAGGAGTACTGTAATACTAAGTAGACCAAGTTTATAGCTATATTTGAGTCTAAAAATTGTTCACTCACCTCTCATCAGACAAAATGCATGTTCTCGTCAAATTGTTGTACATAAAAGACTTGCAATTGAAGTCGTTTGTCTGAATTGATGCAGAGATTAGTTCAAGTTAAACTGAAGCTTTCTTTCTCTTTCTTTCTTTCCCTTTCCATCTTTCTCTTTCTTTCCTTTGTCTTCCTTCTTTCTTCCCCCCTTATCTTTCTCGCTTTCCCTTAGCAATCTATCGAATAGCTCAATGGTTAGAGCAATTGCTTGGAAAGGAAAAGGTCAAAAGTTCTTCTCCTGGCCTTCTCCTGGCCTGGCTAAAAACTGGCTTGGTCTGGCTATCAGTTAAAAGCTAGCTTGGTCTGGCTGGCTGGCCGGTCTGGCTGGCTGGCTAAAGGCTGGCTTAGCTATCAAGCTGTCCAGTGCAGGGCTTGTAGCCAGATCCAGCTAGACAACCTGGCTTGTAAACAGCCAGATCTGGGTCTTGGCCAGGCTTGTAGGCAAGTAGTTCTAGAAACCAGATCCAGAAACCAGACCAGGATCTAGAGGCAGAAGCCAGGTCAGGATCTGGAGGTAGATAGCTTGACAAGGTTCTCCTGGGTACTCCTGGGTACTCCTGGGTACTCCTGGGTACTCCTGGGTACTCCTGGGTACTCCTGGGTACTCCTGGGTATTCCTGGGTACTCCTGGGTACTCCTGGTTACTCCTGGGTACTCCTGGGTACTCCTGGGTACTCCTGGGTATTCCTGGGTACTCCTGGGTACTCCTGGGTACTCCTGGGTACTCCTGGGTACTCCTGGGTACTCCTGGGTACTCCTGGGGACTCTCTTGAGTCTTTCTCGTACTTAGAAAGCCTTACCGAGCCTTGTAAATCGAAAGAAATCGAGCCTTTATCTCAAAACTGACCGTAAGTGAGAGTCGTTGTGTGCACAAACTCTCGCAACTCTCCAAATCGACATTGATGATTCGATCTAGCTCATTTTCCAATTGCATTCCCTCGACAGCGATGTATTGTGTGAGATATGGGGCATAGCATTGAGCTGAAAAAGTAAAAACAAGGATGCAAGCTGTAAGTACGGCTGTATGCTGTAAGGACGGCTGTAAGGACGGCTGTAGTACGCTGTAAGTACAGTGACTGTAAGTACAGTTGTAAGTACGGCTGTAAGTACAGCTGTAAGTACAGCTGTAAGTACAGCTGTAAGTACGGCTGTAAGTACAGCTGTAAGTACAGCTGTAAGTACAGCTGTAAGTACAGCTGTAAGTACAGCTGTAAGTACAGCTGTAAGGACGGCTGTAAGGACGGCTGTAAGGACGAGCTTTGTAAAATCTGTTACAGTTTACAGGTAAGCAGGCAAAAGGGAGAATTGAATACGCTGAAATTGTAGCTTAAAAAGGTCAAAAGCTTAAAAAGCTTAAAAAGCTTAAAAAAAAGGCCAAAAGTTGTTTAATTTGAGTGATTAATTTGAGAGAATTCGTATCGAAAAACATAAAAACAAAAACATTTCAATTCAAAGCATTCTTCTTTAATTAGAAGCTGAGATGAAGCGCTTGATTGAAAGCAAGGAAGCAAGGAAGCAAGGAAGGAAGGAAGGAAGCAAGGAAGCAAGGAAGCAAGGAAGCAAGGAAGGAAGGAAGCAAGGAAGCAAGGAAGCAAGAAAGCAATCAAGCAATCAAGCAATCAAGCATTCAAGCAATCAAGCGGCTGTAAGTACGGCATAATCAAGCAATCAAGCACCCGATTAGATAGCCCTTTCAGCTTTCCAGTCCAGTTCCGATTCCGGTAAGCGACTAAAGTACTTTAAAGTTTAAGATCTTCAGCCTACACTTCAGCCTATACTGCCTTCCTTGCTTGATTGCTCATTGCTTGATTGCTTCAAGATATTCAATTATCCATTCTCCATCAAGGCAAAAGCAAAACAAAATTTTTTCATGCTAGCCAAAAAAAAAGCAAAACAAAATAACCAAAGCAAACCAAAAAAAAAAAGTAAACTTTAAATCTAATATCAAATCTTCTAAAGCCAAGAACTGTGCAAGTGATAAAACTAAAAGAATTTCGGTGCTTGTGCGAGTGAAAACAAAAGAATTCCATGCAAAACTAAAAATGAGAGTGCTTTGTTCTTGGTTTCTTTAGCTTAGAAAGAGCTCTTTAACTTAAAAGGAGCTCAGGCTTAGGCTTAGGCTTAGGCTCAGGCTTAGGCTCAGGCTTAGGCTCAGGCTTAGGCTCAGGCTTAGGCTCAGGCTTAGGCTTAGGCTTAGGCTCAGGCTTAGGCTTAGGCTTAGGCTCAGGCTTAGGCTTAGGCTTAGGCTCAGGCTTAGGCTCAGGCTTAGGCTTAGGCTCAGGCTTAGGCTTAGGCTTAGGCTCAGGCTTAGGCTTAGGCTCAGGCTTAGGCTCAGGCTCAGGCTTAGGCTTAGGCTCAAGCTTAAGCTGAAATAAGGGTAGAAAGAGAAAGTCTAGATCCCTTGTAAGTATAAATGTAGCCAATAAAATTCTGATATACTTAAATGTAAGTTTATGCTCAAATCTGTAAACGCATCCATTCTGAGTATGAAATTTCAAAAACCCTTTTCTTTCTCATGTTTCTTATCGTCCCTGAGTTGAAAATCAAAGAAATCAGCGCGCCAGACGCTTGTGTTTACAAGGTTTGCGCAACAAAGTACAGGGCTTGGTAGGCTTGGGCTTAGGCTTAGGCTAGGCTTAGGCTAGGCTTAGGCTTGGCTTAGGCTAGGCTTAGGCTAGGCTTAGGCTAGGCTTGGGCTAGGCTTAGGCTTAGGCTAGGTTCTACTGTACTGCAAAGTACTGTGAAGTACTGTATACTGTCCTTTAAAGTACAGGAAGTCAATTGAATATCAAATTCAAACAAAATCCCTCACATCCAGCACAATTGTTATCCATATAGATGACTGTGTCATCAACTTCATCAACAAAGAGATCTGGCCGATCCAATCGATCTTCAGTGTTCAGAATGCATTCCTAAATCAGGCAAAAGGTCAATTTGGCAATCAGGTATTGTCAAAGAGTTTGTCGAGGCTCAGAGATTGTCAATCAGAGATTGGCAATCAGAGATTGTCAATCAGAGATTGTCAATCAGACATCGTCAATCAACTATTTCAATATCAACATGACAAACAAGTAGCCGGATCGACAGCCTGACGACGACAACAACAGGATCGACAATCTCTGACAATCTCTGTCAATTTCAGTAATATTTTTGACCTGATCAGTTGGATAGTACATCACAGACTCGCACTCGAAGCCGAAAGTGTCAAAAGCGTTTAAACAAGCTGACATGCATGCCTAAAAAGATTGAAATCTCATCTCAAAAGCTTAATCTCAGAGCTCTCAAAGCTCTCAAAGCTCTCAAAGCTCTCAAAGCTCTCAAAGCTCTCAAAGATCTTTAAGCCCGAAGCCCAAATCTCTCAAATCCCAAAATACCCAAATATCTCAAAGCCTACAAAGCCCAAAGCCCAAAGCCAAACCCAAGCCCAGCCCCAAAGCCCAAAGCCCAAAGCCCACAAAGCCTCAAAGCCTCAAAGCAAAGCCTAAAGCCCAAAGCCCAAAGCCCATCAAACTCTCAAAGCTCTTTAAGATAATATCTAAATATCTAAATATCTAAATATCTAAATCTCTAAAATCTCTAAAATCCTTTCTAGATCTAGACTTTTACATAAATCTTTATGTCTAGACTCTGAATGAATGTCTGAACCTGAATCGTATCAGCTGGGACGACTTCACGAGCGAAACCGACAAGAATTTTCTGCTCAAACACGTCGAAATGGAAAGGAGATGAGCAAACGCGTTCTGACTGAAAACTCTGACTGAATACTCTAACTGAAAAGAACATTTCCAATAAGATCAAGCTTTGTTCAAGCTCTGGCTTATTTCAAGGGCTTACTGCAGGCTTACTGCCGCTTTTAGGCTTACTGCAGGCTTACTGCAGGCTTACAGCAGGCTTACTTCAGCCTTACTGCAGGCCTACAGCAGCTTTTAGGCTTACTACAGATCTGGCTTATCAGATCGTCAGAGCAAATCTTTAAGATTCAATCAAATCAAATCAAATCAAATCAAATCAAATCCAATCAAATCCAATCAAATCCAATCAAAACCAATCCAATATTTCAAACCTTTGTGCAAGTTTTCGAGAAGAGACGATCCTTTTTCTCTTTTTTATCACCATTTCCATAAATTTGACAATTAGCAGCCAAAAATTCGAAACCAGTGCAATCCTGAGAAACAGATTTTTGAAAAGTTTCATTGATCAAAAGAAATTTTGAAAGTTTGATTGATCAAACAAAATAAAACAAAACAAAACAAAACAAAACCCTCACCAATGAAGCAATGCAATGATCCGAGCAATCGGCCATATTAGCCGCGGGAAGAGTACGGATTTGTGGACCAACTGTTACATTGTGTGTCAACGCGAAGACTGTTGTTGAGCCGAGGGTGCACTGGGTTGTTGATTCTAAAGAAATATTTATTCTTCTTGTTTTTGAGCTCATTTTGAGGGGCACTAATGATAGCTAATGATAGCTTTAATGATAGCTTTACTCCTGAATCAAGAGAGGATTTTGTTTCTGATGAGACTGTGATAGACTCGATGGCTTGATAGATCTGATGGCTTTCAACTGAGAGATCTAGGCTTTCAACTGATAGATCTAGCCTTTCAACTGATAGATCTAGGCTTTCAACTGAGAGATCTAGGCTTTCAACTGAGAGATCTAGGCTTTCAACTGAGAGATCTAGGCTTTCAACTGAGAGATCTAGCCTTTCAACTGAGAGATCTAGCCTTTCAACTCGATGGCTTTCATTGACTCGATGGCTTTCAACTGATAGACCCAATCGCTTTCAAAGTTATTCGCATGTTCTTAGAAAGACTTTGGGAAAGAATAAACTCCGGGATTCAAGACGGTTCAAGACGGTTCAAGACAGACTTCAAGGCTGGTGACATAATGGTTTAAGCGACGATTTCACCAATAGGACGAGTGAAATTATGATTTGTTTCGAAGAGGATGAATCGGATTATCGCGTCGTTTTGCTATGTGGAATTTTGCCGCCGTAATTTTCGGATTTTTGTTTTGAAAGCTGTTTAGCTAGGTATTTCTGTGATTTTTACTGTAATCGATTTTCTATTCTACGCTAAAAGCTATTCGAAAGGCTTTTCTAAAAGCTGTTTTGCTTAGGCTTAGGCTTAGGCTTAGGCTTAGGCTTAGGCTTGGACTTAGGCTTAGGCTTAGGCTTAGGCTTGGACTTAGTGCGATGGCTAGCGGCTAGCGCCTCGCACTAAGTGTATTTGGGTTTGTTAGGCTTAGCCTTCGACTTTTCTAAAAGCTCAGGCTGAGGCTTATTTCTACTTGAAAAGCTTTTCTAAAGGTTTTTCTATTTGAAAGGCTTTTCTAAAGCTTTTCTTATTCGAAAAGCTTTTCTAAAAGCTTTCTA